TGGCTTATTTAATTGGTTAACTTCTTCTTTGCTCAGTTTGGGTAACTTGTATTTCTCTAAAAATGCATCCATTTCCGCCAGATTTTCTTCCTTTAGAGAGTATAGCTTTTGAAAGTAGTCTGTTAGAATTGTTTGGATATCTTGGGTACGTGTTGTGATGTTTCCCGTGGCATCCCTAATCCTATTAATATGGGTTTCCTCTCTTCTTTTTTTAATTAATCTTGCCAACGGGCCATCAATTTTGTTTATTTTTTCAAAGAACCAGCTTTTTGTTTGGTTTATTTTGGTTATGGTTTTCTGATTTTCTAATTGGTTAATCTCTGCTCTCAATTTGGTTATCTGGCTTCGTCTAGTGGCTTTAGGTCCCATTTTTTCTTGTTTTTCTAGCTGTTTTAGTTGCAACATGAGATTATTTACTTGGTCTGTCTCCATTCTCTTGATGTGGGCACTGAGGGCAATAAATTTGCCCCTCAGGACTGCTTTTGCTGTGTCCCACAAGTTTCTTTGTGAGGTGTTTTCATTTTCATTGAGTTCTAGGAAATGCTTTATTTCTTCTCTGATCTCTTCTGTTACCCAGGCCTTGTTAAGGAGTGTGCTGTTCAATTTCCATGTATTAGAGAAATTTCTGCGGTATGCTTTGTTATTGAGAGCTAGCTTGATTCCACTGTGGTCAGATAGGATACAGGGGATTATGTCGATCCCTTTGTATTTGCTTAAGTTCCTTGAATGAACTATGATATGGTCTATTTTGGAGAAAGTTCCATGAGCTGCTGAGAAGAATGTGTACTGTGTTGTTTTAGGGTGAAATACTCGGTAGATGTCAGTTAATTCCGCTTGAAGTATGGCCTCACTTAATTCGGTAGCTTCTTTGCCAATCCTCTGGTTGGTAGACCTGTCCTTTGGTGAGAGTGGCGTGTTAAAGTCTCCTAGTATTATCGTATTGGGATCTATTTTATTCTGTAAGTTTGAGAGCATTTGTTTAACATATCTGGGTGCACCGATATTTGGGGCATATAAGTTGATGATGGTTATATCCTCCTCTTGGATTGTTCCCTTTATTAATATGTAATGTCCGTCCTTGTCTTTCTGTACTGATTTTAATGAAAAGTTTATTTTGTCAGATATCAGGATAGCTACACCTGCTTTCTTATTGGGGGAATTTGATTGGTAGATCCTTTTCCACCCCTTCACTCTGAGTTTGTTTGTATGTTTGGCTGAGAGGTGGGTCTCCTGAAGGCAACAGATGGATGGGTCTTGTTTTCTGATCCAGTCCTCAGTTCGTTTTCTTTTAATTGGCGAATTCAGCCCATTTATATTAAGAGAAAGTATAGAGAGATGCATTGTTGTCCCTGCCATTCCGTTTTCCTAAGTTTTTCTTCTTTCCTTTCCTCCTGTGCTTGCTCAGTTAGACTTTGAGTAATGCCTGTTTGGGGCAGGTCCCAGTTCCTGGTTGCTTTCTTCAGGTTGTGTCCCCCCTCTTAGAATTCTTTGTAATGCTGGCTTAATGTTTATGTATTCATTTAGTTTTTCTTTGCTATTAAAAGTTTTCAGTTCTCCATCGAATGTGAATGCTAGCTTTGCCGGGTATATCAGTCTGGGTTGGCAGTTATTGGCTCTCAGGGCTCGTATGGTGCTTTCCCAGGCTTTTCTTGCATTCATTGTTTGTGTGGAGAGATCTGCAGTGATTCTAATTTTTTTCCCGTTGTAGTATAGCTCCTTCTTCATTTTTGCTGCATGCAGGATTGTTTCCTTATTATTCAGATCCATCATTGTTACTATTATGTGCCTAGAAGTGTTTCTCCTGGGATCTTGCTTGTTGGGTGTTCGATAAGCTTTTGTGATGTAGTTAAGATGGTCGTTTTTGAGGTGGGGAAAATTTTCATTGACTATCTTGTTAAATAGGTGTTGCATTCCCTTGCTCTGGAATTCCTCACCTTCGTCCACTCCGATTATGCGAAGGTTAAATTTTTTAGCATTATCTGCTTGCTCTTGAATTTCCCTTTGGTTTAATTTGAGTGATTTTTCCATATCTGTCACTTTTTGGTCCAGTTGGTGTATTCTGTCTTCTGTATCTGACACTCTACCTTCCATTTCATTCACTCTGTTGACCGTGGCTTCTATTGTGGTTTGCATGATGGAAATGGATCCCTTTATGGATTCAATGTTGGTTCTCAGAGTACTGATCTCACCTCTCAATGAGGTGATATCAGTATGCATTACCTCTAATTTGGCGTTTATCTCACTTCTTACTGAGGTTTGTGCAGCTTCTATTTTTGCATCCAATTTTTGTTTGATATCCTGTATATCTTTTGATAGTTCATCCTTGTGCTCTTTCAATTTCTGATCCATTTCTCGCTTTATTTCTTGAGTCATTGCCTCCAGCAACCCTTGGATGTAGTTTTTGTCTTCCATTCCTGCTTTGCTCCCACTGGGGCTCTCCCCTGCGTGGCTGCTGGCTTTTGAGGTGAGCTTGCTGTCCTGGGTAGTGGTAAACCTTGTGATTTTTCTCTGTGATTTTCGCATGGGGGTTCAGGAGACTGCTCTTCAATCTTGTTTTGGTGTGTCTGTCTTTGCTTGGTTGCTGATTCTCTATTGGTAGAGAGAGTCTGTGTCTGATCTGGATTCTGTTGGGAGCCTATTTCCAGCTGCTATTCACTTAGGATTCTCAGCTCTCTGCTGTAGCAATTCCCGCCTTTGGAAGGGTTGAGCAGCCTAGACTGCTTGTGTTTGCTCCTGCGGGTGCTCTTGGGAAGATCAGATGCTCTGGATGCACTCTCCCAAATACTGGAGTCTGCTATGGGCTCCTGATGTGTTTTTGTTTGTTTTGGGCTGGTTGTGGGGCTTGAACTCTAGGTTTGGGTGCTGTCCCTCAGCTCTTCAGCTCAGGGCTGGCACCCTACCATTTGAGCCACAGCCCCACTTCTGACCCTTTTTGCTTTGTTCAGGCGCCGGTCCCCTGGCCTGGTTCCGGCCCCAGCCTGGAGCGCGCTCGTTAGGCCTGTGCTAATGTGTATACCACCTTGGTTATGCAGCCTGGAGGACACAGTTCAAATTTCTTCTACTGTTGGTAGTCTTGACCCAGGGGCACTGTTCCTGGCTTGAGCATTTAAGCTCCCTTCCCGGGGCGCTCTTGCTCTGGCCTGGCCAGCAGAGTGTGCTCCACCGGCTGGTGGGGCTCTCGAACAGTTCCCAGTTTTAGTGGGTCCTGTGGTCCGGGTGTTGGGGTAGGGAGTCTAGGTCAGGGTCTGGGGATTCCCTCCAGCTCTGGTCTCCCTTGATGGATTCCCTGTCCCCTGATGGGTACTCACCCTGTAGGTCGTCAGTTGTTGTTGCAGTCTGTCAGTTGTTGTTGCAGTCCGAGTTCAGTTGGGGTGGTTGCGGGCTGGGTTGGGCGGCCCCCCGCCGGGTCGTTGCGATCGCGATTGGGCGGGTGGTCGGTGGACAGGTCCCTTTGTGGCGCTGCTGGTGCCGGGCGGCTTTGGCGGGATGGAGCCTCTCCGCTCCGGTGGAGAGTGATGGGTGGGGTGGGATCCTCCTGGAGACTCCCGGCTGGTAGGTTTCTCTGTTCCTGGCGATCCGCTGTTCTGCAATCCGGTACCTGGTGATCTGCAAGCAGCCCCCTGTGTCTCTGTGGCTCCGGCAGCCCCTGCCGGGCCGGCTGGCCGGCGGCTTGGCGCACTGCCGCGCGGCCAGTAAAGGTTGGGGGAGGGGTCTTCGCTCTTCTCTGTTCTGAAATTCTTCTTTTCCTCTCTTTCTTTTTTTGTTATTTTCCACCTCTGGTTTTTCTCTGAGTGTTCGTCTTTTTGTTGTTGTCGGTCTCTTGGGGAGATTAAAGGTTGGAACTCGAACTCTCTTTTTGGTTGGAGAGAGCTGTGGCGTTTCCCTACTGCCCCGTCGCCATCTTGAGCCCTGTCTGATCTCTGCTTTACTTGTTGCTAAAGTTACAGGCTTGAGCTACTGTGCCTGACCTAATTCTGATTTTTTAAATTGCCTGAACAAGTATCAGTAATTAGTCACAGCCTATTCATTAGTGAAGTGATAGACTATAGAAAATTTTCAAAGTTGCTGTTGTCCATACCAAGATAGGATTCATATTCAAATTGACCTTGAACCTTTTAGACCCAAGTAGAATTAAGACCTCTGGGAAAGTACACGTTTTGGAAAACTAAATATAACAGTGGGGCTGTGTATGTGTAAGTACGGTGGGGGAGACTCATTGTGAGTCAGCAACATACTGCTTTATTTTCTTAATTATTGGGCACCCACTGCCAGTTAACTACAAGAGCATAACATGTGGGAACTTCTGGATAACATTTCCAAAATACCTAGCATTAGTCAGATACTTTTTTGGAATTCCATGGCCACTTTGGCTGAAGGACACTGTGGAGACTTTGGCAAGGGTTCGGAGTATGGCAAGTAGATGCAGAGGAATGCTGGAAGATAGGCCCATTGCATAAGGCTAAGAAATAAGAGTCACTACTGAGCTGATCAAAGGCAGCCAAGGAAGGATGGTTTTCTGTTGATAAAATAGTTATTTTGCAGAAAAAGATCTAGGTGTCTCCATTGTGAAGGGAATGAAGGATAAGGATTTACATTTGACTCAAAGGAGATTTGGAAGGGGAATTATGAATGTCTTAACTTTAGTGATCATTAGACAGTAGAAAGACTTCTAAACAGGAAATATGAATCTGTGTTCCTTAAATAATAGGGAATTGGCAGTTGGAGTGAGGTGCACTTGCGGTAGAAATTCACAAAGTCTCTAGATCCTATTGCATGGTGCTCATCTCCCATTGGGTTTAACATTTTCAGGGAGTAAATATATATTTTCATTTTTCTCCATAGCTATTGCAAGAATAAAGAATATTTCTCTAGTGCATTTCAAGCAATTAAGTGTTTAAACTGCAAATTGAAAAGTACTTCACCTGAAAACTAGCTTGCTGTTCATATTCTATAAGCCCTGCAATGCTGTCAGTTCCAACTTGCCTTTTCTTTATCTTCAGAAAATTCACTGAGTGCCCACCTCGCTGGCTCTACAATGAGTGCCAAATCTGCCATCAGCAAGGAAATTTTTGCACCTCTTGATGAAAGAATGCTGGGCGCTGTCCAAGTCAAGAGGAGGACAAAGAAAAAGATTCCTTTCTTGGCAACTGGTGGTCAAGGCGAATATTTAACTTATATCTGCCTGTCAGGTAATGAAAACCAAGTACTTATGTTCTTAAAAGAACTTGTTTTAAACAGTTAAATTTTAAGGTATCTGGGACAGTTGTATTCATTTTTATATATTTCCATTCTTTAATCCTTCTGTTCTCTCTGTTACCTTTCTCTGATCTTTATTCACTCATAGCATCTGTATTTTGAAGATCCGTTGTATGGAAAAAAAAGTGTTCAATTTTAATGCATTTTTCAGTACATTGTTTCTGCAAAGGACTTGGTACACACACACACACACACACACACACACACATACACACACACACACACACACACACACACACACACACACACACACACACACACACACACACCCTTCAAAAGAAGTGGTCTGTGAGGACTTTTGCTTTATAACAATTCTTGGTTTTCAAATAATGTTCATTACTAGCAACCTGAGCTTTATTGACTTTCTTTTTCTAAACCATTGTCAACAATTAGTAGTAGTTTGTCTTGAGATAACTATTGGTACCTTATGGAATGTGAGAAAGAAGCTTCAGTTCACAAATCAGTGCTTTGCCTGACAGCTAGTCCCTTGTCAGGAATGAGCATCTGTTTTATTAAGCTTAGAGGTTTGTTGGATTATTTTTTTCCTTTCTGTTTGTGATTATAGTAGATCTGTAGGATTTATACTAAGTTTTTTGAGATAAAATTTGGATAAATGTTTCATGCAGTTATAGGTGACGCTAATCTGAACACCTTGGGCATTTGTTGTATTTCTGATAATATTTCTTATAATAGAGAGATGGAGAAATAATCTTAGATTTAATTCATCCCTTTTTAATTTATTTCGCTTGTGGTTTGGAAATAAAACTTTATTTTTTGGGCCTACTTTTGACTTAAAAAAATAGGTCTATGGGGGAAAGCAAAGGAAGGGGTGACATTGTCCAAGAAGCATTGTACTCATTATCTGACTTATGGAATTGTAAACCCTTTATACAACTACATAATAAAAACAATAAAAATCTAAATATAAAAATTTGAGAATAGAAGGCAACTAAGAGCCAGAAAAAAATGTCTATGGTAAGTTTATCAGAATTCATTTCAAGGTGCAAATAATGTTTCATCAGACAGCATGTGTAAATTTATAAGACTTTATCTTAAATTGAAGAGAAATTAAAAACATAACATTTTGGAAAGAATGACTGTACTTATTGAGAAAGTTTTATTGATATAAATATAAGAGAATTAGCCTTGAAACATTGGTCTCTCTTTCCCAAATAAGGATTAGGCTGATACAATTTGGCTGTTGTTAGAAGATAACTTATATTTCTTCATATGCTAAGCATGACCTGGCATATAGTTGGAGCTTAATTAGTGAAAAGACAGAAGTTGCCTTTCCTAATTCAGTTCTAATATTTTGTTAATAAGCTTAGGGTCCTAAAAACTCCTTTTCATATTCTTACATTAGATCCTAGAGCTTTGCTTGTATTAGGAGTGTATAAAGTATATTCCAATGAATTTTGTTTCATGTTTGGGCTGAGCTGAAATTGACTGAGCACAGATATATAATGTGTCTAATTTTGTTAAGCTCTCTTCTCTCTCTAGTCTCTAGTGTCTCAACATTTCCTTGAGATTTCTTTTTTTAATTTTATTTTATTGTAAAGATGCTGTACAAAGGGGTTACAGTTGCATGAGTAAGGTAATGAGTACATTTCTTGTCGAGCATTGTTACCCCCTCCTTTGTTGTTCTCCCCCTATCCCTTCCTTCTCCTACCTTTCTCACTCCCCCCCCACCAAAAAAAAAGTTGCAAAGTTCATATCCATTGTAGTGTCTTGTGGGTATCATTGTTGCAATGGGTCATCCTGTGTCCTTGTTTCAGCGTTTTGTTATTCCTCTTCCCTTCTCTAAATTAGACCTATGTATATACAAGATGCAAGGTACCAAAATCAAGTATAGTGACAACAGGGGATATACCATAGGGGGAAGAACATACAAAAGAAACAAAAAAAAAATCACATAGTACATTTAAAACTACAACAACAAAGAAAGACCTCTTGTGTTCTTATCTTGGGGTTCATATCACTTAGCATCATCTTATATGGTCACATGTACATAGCTTTTGAACTTTTCTGCTCATCTGATAAAATTATCCTAAACGTATACTAATTATTGCAAATGAGCATGGGAAACCATGGGACCTATATTTCTTTGGGTCTGGCTTACTTCACTTAAAATGATTTTTTCCAATTCTTTCCATTTCCTAACAAATGAAGACAGTTATTTGAAGGAAAACTGGATGACTCAGAAACCTACTGAGCTTGCTTAGTGTACACCTATTGCTGAAGGAGAAAAGTTTTACTTGGAATTTAGGCATATGCTATTGTCTGCCTGATCATGAAGTCTGTGAGAGTGATACAAGGACTATAACAGCCTCATCTTAGTGAAATAGCATAACATTTCCCTGGGTGTAGAAGACAATGACCTGGGACCTACTGGATAACTGCATTCTCTTTCCAAATCACTAAGACATTCTGAAACTAGGAGAATTGCTTTTGGCTTGCAATGCAGGAAAACAATCTCTTGTCCTTTTTCTGGTTTTGAATGTTGGGAGGATAAATGAAGTATATCTGGCATTTCAGCAGACAGTAGAGTAGAAATTGGGGCAAGAAAAGTCTGGTCCTATAACACCTGCTTTTTGCAATGTAATTTTTTCTTATAATTGACAAAAAAGTAGCCATATTTATATTTATTTTCTAAGTTATGTAAAATTTAGAGGTACATCCCTGATAAGCTAATGCTTTAATTAAGAAATACTTAGTCAAATACGCATTAAGTGCCTTTTATGTCCTAAATGCTAAGGATACAATTATTAGAAAAACTTATAGATTACCAAATTTAATGAGGAAGAAACAGTAGATATAACAAGCATAGACTCTGAGAATGCCCAAAAGAATGTCTAGATAATCATATAGGAACAGAATTTAAACTGAGTAAAGAACCAAAAGGATTCTAGAAAAGTAGGAATTTGTTAGTGTTGAAGAGGGTGGTGTGGGGAGAGCAGACATCCCAGGTAAAAGGACAGAATGATAGGTTCATTAACAAACCAAGCAGGATTTGGGGCCTTTCTTTGTCTCCTATTCAGTATGTTCTTTGTAACTGACCACACATAGGAGGCTTTGAAGTGAAAGTTGAACCCTTCAATGACATTCTCCTTCCTGCTATTAGAGTGAATTGCCTATGCTTTCTGGGAGGCCAGGTCCTTCAACCACTGTACTTTACTTGCTGAAAACCAGCTATTCATTTTTAACAAGCAAACTTTGTCCAAATTAAGGCAAGGTCTGGAACTCTTCAAACAGCATGAAGCATTAAAGTAAAAGAGAGAAAGTATGACTTTCAAAGCTTGTCAAAACCTTCATCTATATATAATATATAATATATATCTATGTTATATTTTATACATTATTATATATATTGTATAATATTACATATTATATACATATTCCAATGTCTGGAAAAATCTGAGCAGTAGATTCTGTGATCATAAAACTTTTTATTATTTTTCATAAATTCATTTTTTATTATTTAATATGCAGTGATCAGAAAATAACATCATCTATGTTTCTAAATATAAGATTGCCTGGGAATAATAAAATGTACTCCTATCATAAATTGTTCTTCATGTAAAAAGTTTAGTTAACTTTAGAAGAAGTTGACAACATAATTAATAAGTTCCTGTGTATAAGCAAAAGGTAATTCACATGCTGTTTTAAGGCCTCATGAGAAATTAAGATGAATCAAGTAAAAAAGAAACATCAACAAAGTCTTAAGGACAGGTAACATAGAATAGCATACCAGAGAGCAATGGAATATTTAGGAGAATCTCCATCTCCTTTTTTTGTTGTTGTTGGTGGTGGTGGTGATCATGGGGATTGAACTCTGGGTCTGAGCGCTGTCCCTGAACTCTTCAGCTCAAGGAAGGCCCTCTACCACTTGAGCCACACACACCACCACTTCTGGTTTCCTGGTGGTTAATTGGAGATAAGAGTCTCATGAACTTTCCTGACCCGGCTGGCTCTGAACCAGAATCCTTAGATGGCAGCCTCCTGAGTAGCTAAGATTAGAGGCATGAGGCACCAGCGCCTGGCTCTCTATCTCTTTATAGTCTTCAAACTTGGGGATTTAAGGAGGACAAGTGAAATCACTTGTAATTGCAGGTATCAACTTTCATGTAAGTATGGGAAGAAGTAAACATCAGAAAGTCATTGACACCAGCCTTCCCTGGAGTGGCGACAAGTGAGGATTTTGTAGAAGAAGGAAATGATGGGAACAGTGGAGTCCCATTGCAGATAGGACATAGTATCTAGGGAGAGGATCTGTCCCAGAAAGGGAAACACCCAGAACAGGTCAGAGCAGAGCCCTGATTATGTGGAAATTAAGATGAAGAAACTTGGCAGATATGTGGATAGAACAGAGGCAAAGTCTAAAAAAGACCATTTGGGGGAAGAGAAAGCAACTTAGAGGGAGCCCTTTGCAGGTTTAGTATAAATGTAAACAAAACATCAAAAGGTGGAAGACTCCCAATGAAACAGTATCTCAGAACTGTGTCTTTCCCTTTCAAAACTGATGTCCTTTAAGTCAGGTTTTATTGAGGTGCACTTTATACAAAGGACCAACACTGCTCACAACATTCAATTACTTGTCCCTTCCATGATAATTTTGATCTGTAAAATTAAACTTGATACATGCTAAATTAAAACCAAGTTATAATTAGAAAGCAGTTGCCTACAGTGCTCTATAATCTCTTGCCATTCTATAATCTCTATTTTCATGATTCTGTTTGAATTTAGTATGTGTGATATGTGATGTTAGCTTTCATCTCCCCCGCCCATCAACCATGCATTTTCATCTTCATAAATGGTTGAAGTCTTTTCTTGGCTGCCTCTCCTTATTCCTACAGAAGGAGCATGTGGAGACCATAGTTTTTGTGATTTAGTTACAAATCTTGTTAAAACAGAAAACTAAGTCTTCACAAAATGA